GCCTTGGGAGGCAGAACTTTGATACTGGTGTCCTGTTTCTGGAAAAGCAGCCTGCAGGCTCTTTTTTATTTTTCTGCTATACTGGACAGCTGTGGGCTCTGTAGAGTTGGTCAATACTTTGACTTTATAACTGTCACTACTAGGAATGCTGCTTCACATAAACAAATATTCAAGATGCCAGAAATATGTTTAGGGCTATTTTAGAAATTGTTGGAAATTCTGTGCTAGTTTTAAGTCAAAAATCATTTAATGTGTGTGTGTGTGTGTGTGTGTGTGTGTGTGTGTGTGTTTGACATCAAGTATTTGATTCAATTACTCTTCACGTCTACTTTTTTGAGACAGTGTCTCTCAGTGAACCTGAAGCTCATTGATTCAGTCTGACAGGTTGGCCAATGAACTTTAGAGATCCACCTGTCTCCATCTCCCCCCGCCCCCCCCAAATCCTAACGTTACAAGCATCGTTTAATGATTTTTTAATGACATTCAAGCCGCAACTCAAACAACAGTTTTTAAAATCAAACATTTGAACACAATACAATACAAAGACATACTAATTTGAGACTTACATGCTGAAGGATCGTGATAGGAAAATATTAAAGTTTTTATAAGATCAGAAAGCTTGGAACATACAGTAAAAACACTGCAATTCATAACACCAAAGTGAGCCTAGGCATCTTGGGAAGCTCTCATCAGTGCTCCACAGTGTGCCGGCATGCACAGTGTAAAATGCAGGAGTTGTGAGTCCAGAATCAAGGCTACAGAGAAGTCACATGATAGAACATAAACAAACACTGCCTAAACACCCTGGATACATAACATATTTGATTTTGAATTAATTTTTGCCAGTATGCATTCAGAAGTCTTTTTTTTTTTTTTTCGGGGGCTTTTTGAGACAGGGTCTCCCTGTAGCCCCAGCTGTCCTGGAACTATGTAAACCAGGCTGGCCTTGAACTCACAGAGATTTGCCTGCCTCTGCCTCCAGAGTGCTGGGATTAAAGGCGTGCGCTGCCATGCCCGGATAGAAGTCTTTTATTGTTGCAAAACTTTCTGTAATCCCCCACATTCAGAGTCCACAGTTTAAGAATCTGTGATCTGCCAGGCATGGTGGTGCTCACCTTTAATCCCAGCACTCGGGAGGCAAAGGCAGGTGGATTTCAGTGAGTTCAAGGTCAGCCTAGTCTACATAGTGAGTTCCAGCCCAGCTAGGGCTACAAGGAGACCCTGACTCAAAAAGACCAAAAAAAAAAAAAAAAAAAAAAAAAAGTTGTGATCTAAGCTGTGATTCGAGCATTCAGGAGGCAGAGGCAGGTAGGTAGATCTCTGTCAGATCAGGAAGGAAAGAAGGGGGGGAGGGAGGGAAGGAGGGGGGAGGCACATTGCTAGACTGTCACCTTGCACAGAAGCAGAGATGCTGGCTTAGGTTTCACTGATGAGCTTTAAAACTCTGGATGAGCTTGGGCAGGGGTGAAATGGAGAAAACGTCACTTGCCGTAACTCCCAGCATCAAGCTTTGAGGATAAAATGAAGTCATACATATGAAAATCCTTTGAAATGGAAAAATCACTGAACAAAATATAAAATATAAGGCACAATAATGTGTGCTCACTTGAAACTAGAATTTCAGTCCATGTTTTTGAGAAATGATGTTTCCTTTACTTTGAGGTTTTCATGAGAAATAAAAAATGCAAGTGTAGATCCCAGTGCCTTCTGCATCGTCTCTGGAATCTGTTGCTGTGATAGGAAGATGGCCGGGGAATGTGTTGATGACTCTGCTTAGATGCAATGAGCAGCTATGATTTGTGATTCCATCCTTGAGCTATCTGAAAGTCTACATCAGTGCCTCCTTGGTGAAAATGTCATAAAGAATCATCTTTGTGTCTATGAACAGAAAACTGATTTTCAAAAGTAACAAGAAAAGTTCCTCCACTACCCTCACCTACCACCCATCCTAGAGCAAATGACTTTCAGAAAACACATTGAAGAAGGTAAAGAGAAGTCAGCTTCTAGCTTTCCTACCTCTGTAGGCATTTGCTTGGCAGAGACACTATATATATAGTGTGTGTGTGTGTGGTTTGTAAGTCTAGAGATTTGTTTAGCTTTGAATCTCCTCCTCCCCTAGCAAACTTTCTGAGATAAGAATTTTCCATTCCTTCTATATAGAAAACACCAGAAGCATTAGGGCTACCCAGGAGGAGTCTACATTTTTTCAATCTGTAATAATGACAGCATAAGGGGAAAAAAACCCCAAAAAGTTTTAGAACTTACTTTATGCTTGGTATTGAGCTAAGTACATTAAAACAATTCTAATATTTAATTCTCCTAACTATTCATTGGGTTGGGTATTATTTTATCTCCATTTTATACATGAGAACATTGAGCCACAAGGCACCTATTATATACCATCTTCAAACAATAATTTCAGCGCTGGAAAACAACAATGACAACTCATAGCTCAGGACTGTCTTGTGTTTAAAAGTTCCTTTAGGGGCTGGAGAGATGACTTGGCAGTTAAGAACACTGGCTGCTCTTGCAGAAGACCTGGGTTCGATTCCCAGCATCCATATGGAGGCTAAGAACCATCTGTAACTCCAGTTCCTGGGGATTTGATGCCCTCTTCTGACCTCTGAGGCCATTGCATACACAGGTTCACTTACATATATGCAGACAAAACACTCATAAATATAAAATATGAATACATAAATAAATAATATAAAAGTTCCTTCAGAACATTCCTTCTCTGAGAAGCCTGGGCAAGCCGCCTTTCACTATGAAAGAGTAATTGCCTCAAGTCTCACCTTCAGGAAAGGTAAAGTCCTCAGTGCAAAAGGGAAGCAACTTTCCATCGAGAGCTTCACAGGTTCTATGTGATGGCTGTGCACAGTCAAGACAGGCCTGTACATCCATGTGTTTGCTGTTTAGTTTGTGGTCCAGAGGACTGGCCAAACTGACACCTGAAATTCTCTAGAATAGCAAGCCCTTTGCTACCAAACAAACTGCTCTTCTTCCTATTTCCGAATGATCTTAATAAAAATCTTTCAGACAGGAGAAAGCAGTACAATTCAAAATTTCCTTATTTTACCCTAGAGACTCAAGTGGGTGAAAGGACAACCATAAAGAAAGAATAGCCACTAGTGATGATCAACATTTACTGTTCACTAAATTTTCTCGACACCGAGGAAAGCATTTTATGTGGCTTATCTCAATGAAAATTCACAACTCCTGTGGGACGAGGATTTTCCTCATGGGGAAACCCAGGTTTAAGGAAACCCAGGACCACTTACCTGCTTATGTCTGTCTGCCATAAGAACACAGTTAACCACATAGATACCAGAGTGCTTAACAAACAAAGTTTGAGATTACCTCATTTTACTTGATGAAAATCTTGACACAGACAATATTTCAAAATTGATTTCATGGTGGTGGAGATATGGCTCAGTGGTTAAGAGTGCTTACTGCACCAGGCATGGTGGCGCACGCCTTTAATCCCAGCACTTGGGAGGCAAAGGCAGGTGGATCTCTGTGAGTTCAAGACCAGCCTGGTCTACATAGTGAGTTCCAGGCAAGCTGGGGCTACTGGGAGACACTGTCTCGAAAAAAAAAAAAGTGTTTACTGCTCTTGCAGAGGACCTAGGTTTGGTTCCCGCACCCATGCCAGGTGGCTCACAACCACCTGTAACTCCAGTTCCAGGACATCCAATGGCTTCTTCTGGCCTCTTCCGGTACTCCATGTCTGTAGTATATACTCACACAGACACAAACACATAATTTTTTAAATTGGGGCTGAAGATATGGCTCAGCAGTTGAGAACACTGGCCGTTCTTGCAGAAGACCCGGGTTTGAATCCCAGCACCCATATGGCAGCTAACAACTGTCTGTAACTCCAGTTCCAGGGGATCCGAGGCCCTCTTCTGTCCTCTACGGGCATTGCATAACACAGGTGCACTTATATACATGCAGGCAATACATGCATACACATAAAATAAAAATAATAAGTAAAAATATAAAAAATTAATTTAAAAACTAATTTTATCATTTCATATAGCTAGAAATCAGTTAAGAAGTTAAAAATAGGGGCTGGGGAGATGGCTCAGTGGTTAAGAGCACTAACTGCTCTTGCAGAGGACCTGGGTTCAATTCCCAGCACCCACATGGTGGCTATGAACCGTCCTTAACTCCAGTTCCAGTGGAATCTGAAGCCCTCTTCTGACCTTCGAGGCATTGCATGACATGGGTGCACTCATATACATGCAGGCAATACACTCATACACATAAAATAAAAATAATTTCTTTTAAAAAGAAGTTAAAAATAACTACTTGACGTAGATGAATGCTACCTAAGGTGCTGTCAACATAAACATAGGAGCACCTACTTGTAGGAATGAAAGCTTAAAAGGACACAAAGCCTCTTGAAATTTTTTTTTTCAGCACTGGGAATTGTGCCTAGGGCCTTGCACATGTTAGACCAGTGATCTACCACTAAGCTACTTCCCTAAATTCTTTATTTTAAGTCATTTATTATATTCTGGCTCTCTCTCTCTCTCTCTCTCTCTCTCTCTCTCTCTCTCTCTCTCTCTCTCTCTCTCTCTCTGTGTGTGTGTGTGTGTGTGTGTGTGTGTGTTCCTTAAGTTCCACTGGGGATGCAGTCCAGAGGTAGACCTCTTATGTAACAAGCACAAAGCCCTGTGTTCAACCTCCAGTATTGAAAAAAGGTTATAAAATGTTAGCAATTGTTTTACCTTAACTTAAATATGAAAATGAACATTCTGAAAGAAAACATTCTGAATTTGGGAACCCTTAGTTTTAAAGTCATCATGTCTAATTATAAGCTGTTCAGTTTTGTCTATATGAGCCCACAGATATTTACACACAGATGTGATTAACCATGAAAATAACTCCTTCAGGGGGACTTGAGCAGGAGACCTAGTTCCATCACTTAGTAAACAGCATGGTTTTACATACAATAGGGATTGAATCTTCTGGTCCTAGAATAGCCACTGTACCTTGACTTCCTTGAATACTTGCTTCTCTTGATGGTTCCAGAATATCATCAGGATGTGGAACACAGAATCCATGGAAAGGGCCCAGTTCGAAGCACTTATGCAGCAGAGGTAAGTTCACTCTTGAGCACACGCTCATGAACCCTACAGCCATGCCTTCCACCTGAAACATCCAGAATATGGTACCCTGTCAGACTTTAGATGCTCACTGTGAAACCTCAGGGAGCTCCTAGGGAATGTGGCCCCCCAGTGGCTTGGTGGACACTCTGAATTGTTTAAGGGGGGCAGAGGGTGAATCTTAAGTAGTTCTGGTGTCCAGCACAACACATAGCATATACAACATGCTCAAAGGCATGTCTAACAAGTGACCACTGTGGACAGTCCTAGAGATTGGGTAAGTAACTTCGGGAAGTGTCTAAAGTGTCCCTGAGGAGACATTACTGGTATGTGACTCTTGTTCTCTTTCTTGGCTAATCCCCCTGCTTGATTCACTCCCCCTGCCAGCTGTTGGGATTTTTCTTTTTCTTGTTATTCAACCATAAGCCCTGGCCTTCTGGGTGCTTTTCTTCCTACCTCCCCACCATGCACATCTCTTGGTGAAATGACCTATTTTTCAACCCATCTGATCAAACTTGTGAACAGTCATGATTCCTGGCTCCTTCACAGGAAGGAACCTTTCTATTTCTCTTTAATTCACTTATTTATCACTTGGCTAGTCTGATGAAGTGAAAAAGGTGGCTTGGTTGAAACAGTTGAGTGATGTGAACTTGAGTAAGGCTGAGATGATCTACAAATGAATTACCCTTCAGCATACTAAGACGCTGGGCACAGATACTCTCACAGTGGTCTCCATGATTTTGATCTATGATCTAAAAATTTTTGATGAAGAATACACAGGCTCCCAGGAAGTTGAGTAACTGATTAACACAGTCATTCTATTCAGGAAATAGAATCCTGTGTATTCCCAGTCCCAAGAATGCTGCATCTTTACAAAAATGTTCAATGCTTTAAAATCCTAAGACAGAGAAAGAAGTGGTAATGATGTTTAATATTTTAAATGACATAGGAAAAAACAGTAAACAATTTGTTCTTCAAGATACCTTTTAATTAAAAATCATCTTGTCTTCAAGCATGTACTTGAAAAATAAATGTGAGGTGCCCTTTATTTTCCTCCCACAAATGAAATTCAAGAATTCTTTTCAAAAATTAATTGTTCTTTCATATTCCTTTCTTCACTGGACCGCCCCCCCCCCAAATGATACTTGCTGTAAAAGGCTGGATTTACACAGCTGTTTTAGAAAGCCATTGACACTTTAATGAAAGTCCAAAACAAACATTTTAATTTTTCCCAAATAACAAGTGATTGTTTGTCTTGTTTGTGCTCCTGAACAAAGGCTGTGTAGCTGCAGTTTTCTGGATTCTCTATAATTTCAGGCCCAAGACTCAGCAGACACTGATTAACCAATCCATCTACCATATGTGCAGAAAGAGATGGCCAGCCTCATTCCCGGCAGGGAAAATTGGCATCCATCTTGGTTCACGTGGAGATGTCCTTCTAATCTACAGCCATGCTGGCACAACTAAACTTCCATGGCCTGAAATACCTTTTGCTGGCTTCATGGCAAGCTGCATGTGCATGATAAGAATGTTTTATTTATAAGACTGCTGTTAGTAATGAGCTATCACACTAATGGCTCATTGTGTTTGGAATTCGGTTTCAAATGGCATGGTTCACACATTCTGATGAAAATGAGAAAAACATGTTTTGCCATTAGGAACAAAGATTTCGCATTCTCCAATTCTACAACCTGTTATAGTCCCATCATTCATCTAGGGTTGAAACAGTTTACAAAAGTTCACAATCAGAGACAACACCACAGCAAGGATGGATGGTGAACGTGTCTGCTCCTAACTTTGGGCTTTTTTCAAGTAACTGATTTGAGATATACTGCTCTAAAATATGAATTTGTAGGAATATCCAACTGTGCCTTGGTGCACGTATGTTCTCTAGAGAAATAAATGATGTGTGGACTTTCTTACTTGTACAATGAAAGGGCATTTGTTGTTAGCTGTTATCTTTCAGAGGTCACAGATCTTTCCTGCCACCACGTGTTTTCACATACTGCAAGACAAAACTGGAAATTCTGCTATTCTTGTTTGGCCTGTGAGAATCTACATGATGACCCCCAGAGGAAATTGAAAGCATTGAAAAACCAACTGTGCACCTGCCTTGTCTTCACAAACTGGTCCGACTTATGGACAAATGTGTGCTTTAACATTTATAACTCCATCCCCAAAGCCCAACAGTCAGGCATCCCTTTGGGGTGACAGTATCTCACAGTGAGGGTTTTGTCCTCATTGTGACCACTGCTGGCTTTGATCCCCTCTTCCTGATGCCAAATGCATGGCTAACCTGGCAGGCTCTCTCCCGCCTGCAGGTCAGTGGTGCATACTCGGACCACTGCTGCCTGTGCCCTGGATGATGCCAAAACAGACGCTCTGCCCATCTGTCTCTAGGAGCCACCCTTGGCCTCCAACTACCCTTCCCTAAAATCTCAGCTTGGAGTAAACACCAGATGTCAAGGTAAGCAGGATACAGTATAAGAAACCTGTACAGAACTCACAGCTCAAAAGTCACAGCTCAAATTCCTCCAAAGTAGCAAACAGGGTATAGAAAGTCCTCACACCCAGAAGTCCTTTAACCAATGTTTTCTCTCCTAGCTCAGGCTCAGGTCTCGGGTGTTCTACATGTACATACAGCCTGGAACCACCCTGGGCTGGTATGTGAAGGGGCACAACTTGATGCACCTTGTCCTTTCACCTCTGGTCATTGGTGGCACCGCCAATGTACAGTGCATTGGCTATTAATTATTGTGTCAGCTATATATACAGAAACAAGAGAAAACATCCCCAAGAGTACATATAATACTAAAAGAAATAAGCTGCCAGCTTTTGAACATTATTTACTATAGTTTCTTATACTACAAGTTTGTGTGTTTTCTGTTATTCTTGGTTTTTTGAGGGTTTTTTTTTTGAGGGTTTTTTTTGTTTGTTTGTTTGTTTTGTTTATTGCATATTTCCAGTCAATCTTTCTTCTTTTTATGTACTAATTTTGAATTAATTGTACATAGTAGTGGGTTTCATAAAGGAACACTTTTAAGCATGCCATGTACTTTTACCCACTTATTTCCCTAGCCTCTCCTCCCACTAGCCTCCTTTCTCCTCTGTCTCCTTTATTCTTTTCATGTGGTTTTATGGATCCCATATAAAATCTTTTGGTGATATAGCTGTCTTTGAGTAATTTCTGCTCCTGTAAGTAACCCCAATAAAACTCATTTGTTTACCAAGTTGGACTTTGGTGGGATCCTTACTTCAGTCTGTCCTTGGTTCCCTACCTGGAGTGAGTAGACATCTGTTCACATCTCCCCAGGAATACTGTCACACAATAGCATGCCCTTGGTGGATATCTCCAGGGGTGGGTGAAGAATGAAGAGGGGTCATCAGAATCTTGGAGCTGCTTGCACCAGCCACATGGGGCCTCCAGTTGGACTGATTACACTAAAGCTAAATGGTTTGTCAGCTTCCTTCTCTGTCTCTCCAGAAACTATAGAGCTCGGAGTTTCCTGGTGCCAAACCAAAGGGTGTGAGTTCCATCTTTTGGGCCCCAAATATCAGGCCTACTCACTTGATGTAGAAAAGCTAATATTCTAATCGTTGTATATATGTTCCTAATTTTTCCATTTTCCACTAATTCAACTAAATTTAATCATATATGACTGGATCAGATCATGAGGAAACACTGGACAAATCCAAATTGAGAGACATTGTCCAAAATAACTGGCTTAAATTGGTTTAAAATGCTATTGTCATGAAAAATAGAGATAGATTAGGGAGTTGTTTCAGATTAAAAAGTCTAAAAAGACAGGACATTGCATACAACAAATGACCTGGATTTACTTCTCCATAGAGAACACTGTTGAGACTGTCAATAAAATCTGATTAATATCAGCAGAGGGGATAATAAATTACAGGACTTATAACTGCTTGTCTTTGATCATCATACTGTAGTTACAAGTTACATAGTGGAATACTCTGTTTTTTTTAGGAAATACACATTTAAGGATTTATTAATAAATGAGGCATTGTGTCTGCAATTTACTTTCAAGTGGTTCCAGATAAATACATAGATGGATTGATGGATGGATGGATGGATGGATGGATGGATGGATGGATGGATGGATGGGTGGATGGATGGATAGGCAGATGATAGATAAGAGTGAGTAAGCAAGAGAACGACAAAGCAAGTAAGGTAAAATTCCATTATCTAGAGAATTTGTGTACTTCTAAATTTTCTGTAAGTGTGAAGTTCTATTTTTTTAAGTGAAAAAAAGTACTTTCCAAGTCAAACAAAATCCACCTTACAGAAGAATATTGATTTGTAAATTCTTGGTCATTAATTATAAAATCTTGGGATGTTCAGAAATCTCCCATAATCATCCCCTATGGGATCTTTTTCCTTTCTCCCAAACTCTAACCACTATCTCTAGAGACAAAGAACCCACAGCAGGCTGTTCACCTGTAAAGACCTCATGAAAGGATTTAACTCTGGGAAGGCTGAGGATGCACCTAGAGGGGTAGGCAGAAGGGAGGGGCATGTGAGTTCCAGATGTGCCCAGCAAACCAGCAGCAGCATGGCTCACTCCACTCATTTCTCTAAGCATGTCCCCTGGTGGATGTCACCAACCTCACACACGACAGTATGATGCTCTTCATCTTGTGCCTCTATTAGTTCAGCCAGGAAGTATTCGCCATAAATTTCCTTCACAGTGTGGTCATAGCGCATAAAAATTGGCATGAGATCATCATGGTCTTCAACCCTGTTTAATCAAAAGCCTTCGGTTTAGTGTTCCATCATTTTTCCTTCAATAGAACATCTACTGTGTGCCATCCCTGTTCTAAGTGCCAGAGTTGCAGCAACACTTGTGAAATGAATTGATATTTTCATAAGAGGAAATGAAGAACAAAACTGTAGTACATTTCAATAACTTCAAACATCTCAAACAATGCTGTGTGCCTTGGGATGAAGAGTGACAAAGCCAGTGGTGGAGATGTGTGAGGAGGAACATGTGACTTGGGACCAATCATGAGAGGGGAGGGAGCTGTGTCAAGACCTGAGGTGGATCATTAGGCAGAAGGGCCAGCATGTGGGAGAATGGGAGGTAGGGTAGCATTTGTCAGCTAACCGCCTTAGTTTGCTTTCTGCTGCTATGATAAAACACTAACCAAAGGGTTTATTTGGCTTATGCTTCTACATCACAGTCTGAGGGAAGTCAAGGCAGGAACTCATGTAGGAACTGGAGGCAGGAGCTGAAGCAGAGACCCTAGAGGAACACTGTTTACTGGCTTGCTGGCCTGGTTTGCCCAGGCCCACCTGCCCAGGGATGGTAATGCCCACAGTATGATGGCCCCTCCTAGCTCAATTAGCAATTAAGAAAATGCCTTACAGATATGGCCATAGACTAAGTGTATGAGAGGAAATTTCTCAATTGGGGTTCCTCTTCTTGGGTAACTCTAGTTTGCTTCAAGTTGACAAAAGTAACCAGCACAGGAACCAAGGGACATTTGGGGACAGTATTTTCCAAGTGTGTTCTAAGGATCACTATTTCCATGATATTGTCCGTAAATCCCTTTCCCTACCCCTAGGATGAATTCTAACACTTAAAACCAGTAGCCTACCACAGGTCCCCTTCTGAAGTGTCACAATTATGTATTTAATCATTTGAAAATATTTTAAAATGTGTGTGAGCATGTGTGTGTGTGCGTGTGTGTGTGTGTGTGTGTGTGTGTGTGTCTGCCATAGCACATGTGTGGGAATCAGAGAACAACTTGCAAGACTTGGTTCTTCCATTGATGTGGGTCCCAGGAATTAAATTCAAGTCATCAGGCTTGGCAGTAAGTACCCTTATCCTAACTGTCTGAGAAACTCTTTCCTGGTGGTCATCCACCACCTCTGGTTCTTACACTCTTTCTGCCTCCTCTTCCGCAATGATCCCTGAGCCTTGGGTTTACCTAGGATCTTATACTGTTTACCTGCTACTGTAAAAATATTCCAAACTAGGGGCTGGAGAGATGGCTCAGCGGTTAAGAACACTGGCTGTTCTTGCAAAAGACCCGGGTTCAAATCCCAGCACCCACATGGCAGCTAACAACTGTCTGTAACTTCAGTTCTAGGGAATCTGACAGCCTCTTCTGTCTTCCACAGGCATTGCATGACACGGGTGCACTCACCTACACACAGGCAATACATGCATAAACATAAAAATAATAAAAATATTTTAAAAATTCCAAACTCACAATATTTTCCCCAGCATATGTGATTTGACTACTGACCATTAATTTAGCTCTTTATTTCATTTCCCTTTCATTGCCATCATCCCATTTTATTTTCTAGTATGTTCTCTTTGATACTAATAGTAGTCCCATCTATTGAGTGAGCCATATGTATATGAAGCTCAGGGCTTTATCCCAAACTTCTCTGCCGCTGTGTTTCTCATAGCAACCAGGAGACAGGCAATGCCCTCTTCACTTTTCAGATCGGGGGGAAGCAATGTTCCCAGTGATGATGAAATGGCTTGCCTGAGATGACAGAGCTGGCAGCAGAACCACAAGATGACTGAAACACCCCCTCTCCTTCCTGGAAGGAGAGGGATGGAGAAGAGGAAATGCTGGTGAAGGTAAAAGAGTGCTGCTCAGTACCCTGAGGACACCCACCTCGTCGTTATCCATAGTAGTGTTGATTCCTAACACTCTTCAAAAGGACAGATGGCAGGGATTCCTATCTAGACAGCCAAAATCTTTTTCATTTTTCCTATCACCCTGGCTCTGATGTCATTCCCACTGGCAATATCATTCCCTCACACCAAGGCATCAGTGGGATTCCCAGGTGTGAGGTTCAAACAGTGAGCCAAAAACAAACACTAACTGTGCTTTTAGAATATGACTGTACTTCCAATGCTGCCCTTGACACTTGCCCATCTATTTTCGCATATGACCACTATGAGAATGATCAGTGGTCATCTGTGGCCAGGCATAGTGAAACTCCACCACAAATCCACCAAAGGCTTGCCAGATGCACTTCTGAAGACTAGCAGAACAAACAATACAGCATAGTGCTCAGAGCCTGAGCCAGGGAGCCAGAACACCTGGGTCTGGACCCGGCATTTGCCGTTATACAAGCTGTGACACTGCGCCAAAGACACAGTGTTCTATCACTGAGCCATACCCTCTGTGCCATGTGAAAATAAGAACATGTGTTAATCATACTGTTATAATTATTACTTATGTAGAAATGTCTAGTAAGAGCAGTTGAGGGCCATCCACAATCAGCAAGTAGATGAGTCACCACTCTGGCATCCCATTGGCAGGTATAGACAATGCAGTTCCATCCATCATTACTTATCTTATAGGTCTGTTTTCCTCACCTCTGTTCCTTATTTAACTGTCTGAAAGCTCCTCACTGTTTCCTGGGTAAGTACAAAGACCCTTGCTTCCATCCTTCCAACTTTATCACCAACCATGTGTGAGATGATACACTTGTCCTTAGAAGCAGACCATGCCATCCTCTTTCTTGCCTCTATTTCTGTCCAGCTCTCTGACACCCTTGTCTACTCCAAATTCCAGCATTCTTCAAAGGTATCCCAACCCTCTACCCTCCATGACTCTTCCTCTCAGGCTCTCTTCCCAAGAACTCAATGTTGGGGTCATCACTGGGTATAATGTCTAGTTTGGGTGTTGATTTATTATGGCCATTATGTAGCATCTTCACAACCATGGAATACATTTTACAGGACACAGAAGTTCTACAGCAGCTCCGCATTGTGATGCAACAGTGAGAGCCAATAAGAACTAAGCTCTTGACTTACACTGACCTTGCCACAAAGAGAAGTGATTGTTAATCCAAGAGAGTGTATGTGGAAATCTAAACACCACACTGGAGGCACCACAGCCTCTCTACTTAGCCTCCGACTCTCACTACTAAAGAGCCTGCAAAGGCACTTCAACATTTAAGACTTAGTTTTCTCATCTTCAAAAGGAGTGAAGCCAGCATAACTGGGAAGGTGTAATGAGGTGACACCAGTGATGTACTTTAGCCCACTCCCTGCACACAGCAAGCCCTCAGCAAGCGTTTGCTATCTGTGTGAGGTCTCAGACCTTAGAAGAGCCTAGAACATTCTACTCCTTTGTAGGAACAGCCCACTTCCTACTTAACCTGACAAAAAGCTAGTGCCCATAAGAGGTGACTTTTTTCTGTAAAAATAATCCTTGATGATACTAGTTTTAAAAATATTCTGAAAGTGGGGCTGGAGAGATGGCTCAGTAGTTCAGAGCACCAACTACTCTTAAAGAGGACCTGGGTTTGATTCCCAGCATCCATGTGGCATCTAACAACCATGCTTAACTCCAGTTCCAGGGGATCTGATGCCTTTTTCTGACCTCTGCAGGCACTGCACAACACAGGTGCACTTACATGCATGTAGTCAATACACTTATATACACATACAATTTTGCCAAAAATTGTATGAATATTTATTAACAAATTAATTATTTTACACAACAGGAAAAATAATATTCTAAAAATTTTAAGTGGGTTAAAACAACAATCATAGATGTAGTGGTGCATGCCTTTAATCTCAGCACTCAGGAGAAAGAAGCAGGAAAAATCTCTGAAATAGAGGCCAGCCTGGTCTACATAGTGAGTTTCAGACCAGCTGGGGCTACAGAGACCCTATCTCAAAAAAAGCCAACAAAAACAAAAAACAAAATGATAGCAATTATATAAGAAAGTCAAAACTTGGCTTATATGATGAATACAAAAATATTACCTGGATATTAAAATCAGGAATAAAGATGGAGAGACAGAAGTCCCTAAGCCTATTCATGAATCTTCCATGACCCATTAACAAAGTTGTCCAAAATCAGACCTCAATACCTGAGGATGGCCTGGCTGGTGGCTCTAATTCTACTGGGGGCGGGGGAGTAAACACCCAACCTTCATTCTGAACACTCTCTTAAGTCTTTCCCCAAAATGCACAGAGAGGAACTTGTTCAACATGTTAAATGTATTCCTTGGGGTAATTGATAATTTAAGATCTTGCATCACCCCAAGCGCTAATGATAATGGATGACATCAGCCTCGAAGTCTCAAATGGCATATGACAAAGCCCAACCCTGCAGAAACAAAACCTCCAGCTAAGGAGAACCATCCATGCAGTAAAATGCTGAAGTGTGAGTGCTCTGAAGCCATGAGTATGGCCTATCAGAGTCGAGTGAGTTGGGCAGGAGGACAGCTCCATCTCAGTGTGAGTTTGCCAGACATACACCTGCCCTTTGTACACTGCACAGCACTCCCATGGTGATGACTATTTTAGGGTTATAGTCCATCTGTACAACGGACAGTAAAAATTATACAGTTCTCTGAAAAGTAACGCTCCTTTATGTCTTCTACCGAGAATGTGGTTTGCAGGGGGCAGTCAATGCAATCAACTATAGAAGGTTTTAACTTGTTTAGAGAAAATAAAGGGTTCATCCCATAAATACTTATTGTTTTCCTGGGCACTCAAATGTCCATCAGACTGAAAGCCACATCAGCCAAAAAAATGGAATTGAATTCAGGACTTAAAACTAATGAGCTGTCAAAGATATCTCACTTGGAGAAATGAGTATATTCTAAACGTTGGGGCATTACAAAGCTAAGGATGGCCTGGTTGGTGGCTCTAACTGGCTTCCTAGAAGATGGAGAGATGAAAGGACAAACTCACTCATCATATTCACTACATCAGTTAGCCAGAATGTTGAGGATGGTGGTCCTCAGATCTCA